GCCTCGCGTCCGCCTGCCGGGCCCGGGGCAGCGGGCGAGCCCCGGCTCCACGCGCCCCGGGCGGCTCCCGGCCCCTCGGGTGCAGGTCGGCTGCAGATCGCAAGCGCGGAAGAGGAAGCGCGCTGGCCGGCCGGGCTCGCGCACGGTGCTGCGGACGCAGCCCTGCACCTCGCCTTCAAGGAACTTGGCCTCTTGGGGGCGGACGCCCTGCCGTGGCCAACCCCTGCGGCACCGGCTGAGCCCGCCGGAGTCCGGCCTGGAGTGGTTTGAAGGGTTTGAAACAAAGCTGGTAGATGGACGGCACATCCCGGACACGTGCACGCCATGGCTGTTCATGTGGGATCTGTGTCCCACCTCACCTAGGCAGGTTGAGATGGACGCCCCTGCCTCACAGTAAAGACACAAAGTATAAAGTAGTTAAGGTGCCAGGGCAGGCTGTGGGTTATGATGCCAAACTGCAGTTTGTCTTAAATTCAGCAGCAGTTTCTTTTTTTTCTTTCTTTTGGAGACGGTCTCCCTGTAGCCCCAGCTGGCCTGGAACTCAATATGCAGACCAGGCTGGTTTCCATCTCACAGACATTCCTCCGCCTCTGACTCCGGACTGCTGGGATTAAAGGTGTCCACCACCACGCCCTGAATGTTCGACAACAGTTTAACAGAGGATAGATTAATACGATTGGGAGTTGTCTGTGCAAAACACAATTCTTAGGCCCGATGTAGTAAAAGTTTGATGAAGTTTAATAGCAATAGAACATGGAAAGTCACAAATCAAGGCACTTTCCAAATATGTTGGTGGAAATAAAATGTTACCAGTAAGGAGAGGTGGAAATACAGGTTCCAGTTAGGAGAGGAAGTCCCAGCCCTAGGCCTGATGGCTTCTCGTCACAGTCCTAGCCTTTTGGTTGGTGGAAGCTGGTGGCCTGTTAAGTGAATACATTCCAGGTTTCCTCTGTCACAAGGACCTTGGGTCAGACACAGAGGTGGGCAGGGAGTGGCTCACAATAGCCCAGGATACTGTAATGAGGCTCTGGACCTGCAACATTCTAACCCTCCACAATCATTGAATCTAGTCAGTCAATCAGCCTTACAGAAGGTTCAGGGTGAGGTGTGGTTCTTTCTAGGAACTTTCCCAGTATATCATAAAATCAGGGGAATTTGGGGCATTTGAATAAAATTCCTTTAAAGACAAAATGAACAAACTCTCCTTCCAGAAAAAGACACCAAGGGCGTGGTTTCATTTATCCATTTTATTTTTTATTACTGCACTTTGTGTGTGTGTGTGTGTGTGTGTGTGTGTGTGTGTGAGACCTATGCCACAGTGTCTGTGTGGAGGTCAGAAGGCAGCTTTGGGGAGTAGTTTCTTTCTACCATATGGTTCCTGGGGATCAAACTCAGACCATTTTTTTTAATTTTATGTATATGAGTATATTGCCTGCATGTGTGTAAGTGTACCATGTGCAATGCAAACTCAGACCATTTTGCAGGCCCTGTTTTTCCATTTTAGTAAGCATGGCCTGACTGTGACCCTCAGTAAAATACAAAGTTGGACAAAGTGTAGACCTGGGTCCTGGAGTTCCACATATTCTAGCCCAATAATAACCATCCTTAGTTATTGAGTATTATGGACCAGGCATTGCACCAATAGCTCCAACACATTGCTTACAACTCACCTGTAATGGACACTGGGCAGAGTGACAGGAGTGTGTGGCTGCAGCAACACCCGACAGAAGTAGCCTGCTGCGTGGCAGAGGCTGTTCACTGCACAGACTGAGCCCACATCTGTAGCCTGGTGTCTTAGTCTGTTCTCTCACTGTAACAAAACACCAAAAGCTGAGTGATTATCAGGAAAAGAGGTTGGTTTGACTCACACTTATGGGTGTCCAAAGTTTTCTCATATCTTGGAAATTTTGGAACATGCCCACCAATGCAACTCTTCAGTATGTTTTTGGACTGTCATTTTGTTTTGCTTTTTAGCATTCTGGTTTCTGAGTGCTTTTACCAGTAGAAAGATAAAAAGACTGATAACAGAAGCAAACTCACAACATAGATTTGTAACACAGCACAGCATTTCATGGATTCACTGTGCACAGGGACATGTCCTGTTTTGTTTTTCAACAGGTATGTAGCCCAGGCTGGCCTTGAACTCAGTACTGGCTGAGCATGACTGTGAACTTCTGATCTTCCTACCTCCACCTCCCCAGTGATGGGTCCACAGGTGTGTGTGTCACCATACCCAGTTTTATGGAGCACTGCGGACTAAATCCAGGACTTCTCATAAGCTAGACAAGCATTCAACCAACAGTTTTACTCACAGCCCGACTTGTTTCCTTTTTAATTTACTCTTTCATTGGGGCAGACAAGCAAACAAGCCTAATAGCACAGCTGTGGACGTGTCTTCCCGGGTGAGTGGAGGCTGCAGCAGGCTCCGTCTAGGGGTGGACGTGCCTGTCACATAAGAACACTGGAAAGGAAGCAGGGCCTCATTTCAGAAAAATTCCTTTGCTGAACTCAAGTGACTTGAGATGGGGAAACGGGCAGTGAAGCAATAGCCTTGAACTTAAGAGCATCGGTCACAATGAGAGCCACGCTTAAAATAAGGCCAAGGCCTGGCTCCCAGCCAGCTGGGGCAGACTGATGACAGCACTCCCCAAGCAGCCATGCTTGACACTCTGCCACTCAGTGCTCTCACATTCTGTGAAGGAAGCCTCTGCCATTCTGCCAGGGCCTGTCTACCTTCTCCTCCTCCATGTGCCCTGTGATTTAGACAGAGTGGTGCTGGAAAGGCGGTTCAGGGCTGCTTTGCCCCCGGCTGCAACACAGAAGTGGCACAGGATGAAGCCTCCATTGCCTAACTGCAAGACCAGAGGATAATCGAATCCAAGGGTTAAACAGCCTTCCAGCCAGAGATCAACACGGGAAAGAAATCACTCTGGCCCAGGAAATAAAGGCCTGCTGGGGAGTTGCTGTTTGTCCCTCTGCATCCCATGTGCTGAGCACATACGGATGGTACAGCCATAGATGGCTGAGTTCGACCAGGTGCTTACGGCTACTTGTACAGAGGCGAAAAGCAGTTATGAAAGACCTGGATTATGGCACTCAAAGATATTATTAGGTCCTCATATCTGGAGCATGTAAATATCACCTTCTCTCTCCTAGCTGTCCCCATCCTGCAAGTCTTAGTTACATTGTCTTCGGATTACTTTAATATAACTCTTTGTGTCAAAGACTGTGCGGTGGCCCTTTCTTGTCTATGTTATCAAAGACAATAAACCTTTCTCTGGCTACAGAAACCCAACCATGGTGCTGGGGACATGGTTCAGTGGTTAAGAGTACTTGCTGCTCTTCCAGAGGACCTGAGTTTGGTCCTCAGCACCCATGTGGTGCAACTCATAACCACCTATAAATCCAGCTCTGGGGGCCTTCTATACCCTCTTCTGGCCTCCAGGGGCACTTCACACATATGCGACATACACACACATACACACACACACACACACACACACACACACAAATATGAATAAAAACAATTATTTCTTTTAAAACCCAACAGCTAGCCTGTGTCCTGCTCAGTTTGAGTCCTAGCTATTTTGAGGAGTAGTTTGCAACATCTCTCCACCTAAAACTCTCTGCTTCCTAAGTGTCATACATGTGTATGTGTATGTGTGTAGAACACATGCTGTAGTTATTTGTCATTTTCTCATTGAAGAGCTTTGATGCATGTTCTATGTTTGATTCATCGGCATTTGTTGTGACTGGAGTAGCAAACGCATTGAAGTTTTGAAAAGTGATGACACTGATTTCACGGTCATCTTACACTGGTGATTTTTGAGCTAACTCCTAGATTTTGTTATGTCCTAACCAAATACAGAATAAACTATTCTAAGTAGGTAAATCTAGGAAGAATCTAAAGAGATCAGTATTGCTATTTGTGCTGGATAGCTTTAGTGTCAACTTGACACACCTGGGTTGAGGGAGCCTCAATCGGGGAATTGCCTCTATTGGACTGGCCTGTGGCCATGTCTGAAGGGCATTTTCTTGATGAGTGATGTGGGAAGGCCCAGCCCACTGTGGGTGGTGCCACCCCTGGGCAGGTGGGCCTGTGCTCCATAAGAAAGCAGGCTGAGCAGGGGCCAAGAGAGCAAGCCTGTAAGCAGCGTTCCTCCATG